GAGAGCACACCACTGCACTCCAGCCTGGGTGACAGAGTGTGAGTCTGTCTAAAAAGAAAAAGAAACACTCTGGCAGAGACAGCAGCACTACCCAGCTTGAGGGGACCACATGGGCATCTGTGATGATGTGCGTCCATGCCTCGTCCAGGAGGGGACAGTGCAGTGACCACATCCCGGTCTGCGGGCTGCCACATGCTGGGCCTCTGTGCCAGGGCCAGGGCGGGAACACGGACTCGGCAGCAGCAGCGGATGCTGCAGGTGGGCTGGGCATCTGGAAACAGCACAGGGATCACTGAAGTCCCCAAGCAGCTGTGAGAACTCTGCCGAGGACTGGGCTGCAAACATGATGGAGTGGAGCAGGTGCCGCAGCCCCGAGGACAGGGTGAGGGCCGGGCTCCCCCGTGCTCGTCCTGCCACTGCAGTCTAACCATGAAACATGTGACGTCAACAGGGGATCGTCTGTAGTTCCCTTGGAATCCCGAATAAGGGTGCAAGTGGAGTTCTGCACAGATGGACAGCTGGGAACTGGGGGGCGGGGGGCTGTGGGGAGCGCACTGGCTGCCCAGCCTCAGTGGCAGGGGGAAGCCCCTCGAGCCCCAGCCCAGCCTCTACCCTGTGCCTTCTGGCACAGCTTCCTGCATAGCCAAAGAACTTGCTTTGAGGATACGGTCGCTCACTGGGACCAGCGTGCCAGACCCCTGCTTTCAGAGCACCCGTGGCTTTCATTTACAGCCGTCAGATCAACACAATGGCAGAGCTGGCCGGCAGGAGGAACGCAAGCCCATTCCAGACGTCTCCCCTGAACTCGGAAAATCCAGGGTCCTGACCCAGGGCCGCACACTGCCTGGATCGTAGCGCCCTCTCCTGCAGGAGTGATCAGGGCCTCCAGACACACAAGGCAGAGAGAAGTCCCAAGGAGGGGTGAGAAAACACCCACTTTTCACTTCAAACATGTCGAACGGGCACGAGTCCGCCCTCCGCACTTCAGGAATGAAAAGCACAGTTGCGGGCTGGGGCTCTGGCTGCTCTGCACCACGTGCCTCCACGTGGGTCTCAGGGCAGCCCAGTTGGCATCCAGGCACCCACCCAGCAAGGGCCTGAGCCTCAGCAGGCCTCGGGGGTCCTCTGGTTACAGGCAGATGCCCCACCGATGGCTCATGTCTCTCTGAGAGCCACAGTGTGCATTTCATTACATCTTTCCAAGATCAGGGGCCGGCTTCCAGGCCCTTCGGCAACTGCTGCCTTCTGGTGCACCCCTGTGAGGTGGCCTCCCGTGCCCCAGGCATCTGTCCTCTGAGTGGCCCTCAGGCACCTTCTAAGCTGCCTGCTGCTCCAGCTCCCTCCCGGCTCTGGGGCAGTGGGACCCTCAACTTTTCTGACTTTCAAAATAAAGAACAAATAGGCCAGGCACAGTGGCTCATGCCTGTAATCCCACCACTCTGGGAGGCCAAGGTGAGTAGATCACCTGAGGTCAGGAGTGTCTGAGACCAGCCTGGCCAACGTGGTGAAATCCCATCTCTACTAAAAATACAAAAATTAGTCTGGCATGGTGGCACGCACCTGTAATCCCAGCTACTCAGAAGGCTGAGGCAGGAGAATAGCTTGAACCTGGGAGGCGGAGGCTGCAGTGAGGGGCTGGGCGCAGTGGCTCAAGCCTGTAATCCCAGCACTGTAGGAGGCTGGGGTGGGTGGATCATTTGAGGCCAGGAGTTTGAGAACAGCCTGGACAACATGGTGAAACCATGTCTCTATTAAAAACACAAAAATCAGCTGGGTGTGGTGGCAAGCACCTGTAATCCCACCTACTCCGGAGGCTGAGGCAGGAGAATTGCTTGAACCTGGGGGGCAGAGGCTGCAGTGAGGCGAGATGCCGAGGAAGTGGCTGACACGCATGGATGTGTATTCTAACGTATACTGTAAGAATCCATTTACCAACTTAAAGACAGGCAAGATCATTCTAGAATGCTGGAAGACAGGTGGGCACTGACCTTTAGGGTAGGGGTGGATGACAGTGAGGCAACCATGCGGAGCTCTGGGGTGCTGGGATGTCCTGTGTCTGCTCTGGAGGGTGGTTCCATGTGGTTCACTTTGTAAAAACTTACCAGGTTGTATACAAGAATTATGGGCTTTATGGTAGCTGTATATACAACATACCTTTTAAAAATGTATCAACATAGGCCAGGGGAGGTGGCTGACACCTGTAATCCCAGCACTTTTGAGAGGCCACGGTGGGCCAATCACCTGAGGTCAAGAGTTTGAGATCAGCCTGGCTAACATGGTGAAACCCCGTTTCTACTAAAAATACAAAAAATTAGGCCAGGCGCAGTGTCTCAGCCTGTAATCCCAGCACTTTAGGAGGCCAAGGTGGGCGGATCACGAGGTCAAGAGATCGAGACCATCCTGGCCAACATGGTGAAACCCCATCTCTACTAAAAATACAAAAGTTAGCTGGGCGTGGTGGCGTGTGCCTATAATCCCAGCTACTCAGGAGGCTGAGGCAGGAGAATTGCTTGAACCCAAGAGGTGGAGACTGCAGTGAGACAAGATCCTGCCACTGCACTCCAGCCTGATGCACAGAGTGAGACTCCATCTCAAAAAAAAAAAAAAAAAAAAAAAAAAAAAAAAAAAAAAAAAAAAAAAAAAAAAAAAAAAAAAAAAAAAAAAAATAAAAAAAAAAAAAAAAAAAAAAAAAAAAAAAAAAAATGTATCAATATATACCAGTAAAAAAAGCTCAACTCCATAAAAAGCAAGCAAAGAAGACAGGCAGTTCACAGAAAAAGAAACGCAAGTGGCTTCTAAACCCATGAAAAGATGCCCAGGTTCCCACCAGAGAGGAATGATGAAGACTGGAAGGTCCTGGGCGTGGGGACAGAGGCCTTGAGCCCGGGTGGGAGCAACGCTGCAGCCACTTGGGCAGAGCCACCATGTTTACAGTAAATGCTCACACTCCTGACACAGGATTCCATTTCTGGAAGGCTTCTTACAGATGTGTGCTCAAATATCTCACGATGCTCATGAACATGGATATTCATCGCAATTGTGTCTGCAAACGCAGAAGACTGGAGAGGTGACTCCTTCAGAGACTGAGATTATGGAATTTTCCTACCATGGAACACCATGAAATGGCTAAAAATAGCCAGGCAGCTCTGTGCCCACGGCTTGGAGCAACCTGACCTGCAAGGGATCTGGAGCAAAAGCAGCAGGAAGCTGTGTTACAATGAAAGAAACACCCACGTGCATGCACGTGCACGCGTCGGCCGCCCACATGCACTGCCCCTTGAGGGTCACACCAGGAACCGCAGTGCTGGTGGCCTTGGGGGTGGGCGACTGGGGAGGGGACTCAGAGTTGGCAGCAGGTCCATGGACAGTCAGTCACCACAAAAACACCACGGGGAAAGTGCTGACAACTCAGCTAAGTCAGCTCTGAGGAAAGCCCGATGCACAGCTGGTGAGCAGCTGGGTGAGGCTCTGCTGGGCAAGGACCGTACACCCTGTGAACCCAGGGGTCCCCAGGCTGACTGGACCAAGTCCCTTTTGTGGGTTTTAAGTTTCTGGACAGAACCCATCTGAAAACGCTGAACAGGGGCTTCCTTCTGCCTCCAACTCTCCCCAGCCCAGACCAATCAGCCTTTGTCCAGGTCTCCCCACAAGTGTCCCCTACCTGGGAGGAAAACGCGTTCCTGTGGATTTTCTTGTAGATCAGCGCTGGGCAGATGAAGCAAATGAGGCTTCCCATGGTTGCACCCGTGAGGCCTAGGATCGTCTCCACTAGGACAGAGAAGTGACAGGAAGGGATGAGCAGGAAAGGGTACCCGTCAGGAGGGGACCTGAGCTTTTGCCCAGCATGTGGGTGAGCAAGTCAGCACTGAAGGAAAGGCCTTCTAGGCGTGAGCTGGGAGCAGAGATGCCCTCTGTGCCTGGTAAGCCTGACAACCGCCAGCTGATTCCTCCAACAGTATATTTGGGCTCCTGGGGTGAATTCTCTGATTGTTCATCTTCAAAGAGCCAGACACGGCCAGGGGCGGTGGCTCACGCCCGTAATCCCTGCACTTTGGGAGGCTGAGGCAGGTGGATCATGCGGTCAGAAGTTTGAGACCATCCTGGCCATACTGAAACCCCGTCTCTACTAAAAATACAAAAATTAGCTGGGTGTGGTGGCGCATGCCTGTAGTCCCAGCTACTTGGGAGGTTGAGGCAGGAGAATTAATCACTTGAACCCAAGAGGTGGAGGTTGCAGTGAGCCAAGATCTCGCCACTGCATTCCAGCCTGGGTGACAGAGCGAGACTCCGTTTGGAAAAAAAAAAAAAAGAGCCAGACACTAGGGATTTTCTGCCTATACCAGATGTGGGCTCCGCACTGCACCGTTCCCACGCTGCCTCTCCCACCTGCTTCGCCATGAGTGGCCCTAGGCTGGGCAGGACCTATCCTAGGGCAGTTGTAAAAGCCAGGGCCTGGCACACGCTACCAGAGTGCAACCCCCTGGCAGAAGCCCAGACAGATCACCTCTAGGGATGCTCCCTGGAGAGAGGCAATCGGGTTCCCCATGACCTGATGATAATGAACTCTGCCTTGTCTGCTAGACAGTGGGTGCGTCTGGGGTAACATAAACACGTTCAGGGCCTTCAACGCTCCCCTTGGTAAAGCGCCAGCAAAACCAGAAGTCGAGAGTCAACGGTACAGAATGCACTGTTCTATGACGGTTCATTTGACAAATCAGGCCTGTGTCCTGGCACTGCAGTCCCTCTCTGCCCAGGTGTCAATGGGTGTCTGCTGTTCCATCAAGCTGCCAGATTTTATCTCCTCCCCTTCTCTGTGGGCCAATGACAGTCTCTAGACAATTTTAGAAGACCAGAGAGGACAGCTCATTGACTGTGCAGGTCTTGGTTGAACACCGGCGCCCCTGGGTCCCACTGCCCGGCACTGGAGCAGCCCCCAGCCTTACCGTTGGGGATAAGGATGCCACCAACCATGGTACCGAACACCACAGAGAGGGTAAGTGCTTTAAACCGGAGGGGGGGCATGTAGCCCCCTGCTGCAAACGTGCCATCTTTTTGCTGTATAAAAGAAAATAGAAACAAAAAGGCTTTGAAGTGACTGATTTCCTCCACCACTCTCCTAGAAGGCCATGCCCGAAAGAGCTCTACCGGGCACACAGGCACATTTCCACGTGAGGCCGGGCGCACGCTCAGCTGCCAGGTGAGCCTACCCAGCACAGTCAGATCTGGCTGAGCCACTCGAACAGTAACCTGCAACAGGGCTTCTCACCCCAGGCACAGGCCGTAAATTTTACAACCTCGTTTTGAAATGTGAGTAACGAGTCCTTCCGTTTTCGTTTTTGCTTTTGGAGCAATGCCACAAGAGAGTTTTTTAAGTGCCCGGAAATATGGCGAGCAGAGTACAGGCTGCACAGCGTCACCCCTGCCAAATGACTCTAGGCCTCCCCTGGCCTGCAGGTCTCAGGGTGCAGGCAGAAACCCCACGCACACACAGAAACCCCACGCACACACAAACACAGTCACTCACACTCACACACATTCATGGCCGTGTTATCATCATCTCCAGCAGATGTGCGACAAGCAGTGAGCAATTTCAAAGTTCAGGGAGAAGAAGAGGAGAAAAGGGCATGATGAGGCATCACCAAACTGCAAGTGCCTCTTTTGGCTCCAGGGTGCAGCCAGGCCTCTGCTGCCCTGCACAGGGAGGAGGCGGCAGGGCCAAGGGTAGATGGCCTCATCCCCACCTGCCCCAGAGCCCCAGGCTGTGGTCTAGTACCGACACAGGAGCCAGACTGCCTGTCTCAAATCCTTGCTCTGCCACTCACCAGCCCCAGCTTGGTGCCTTGGACAAGTGACTTAACCTCCGTGCCTGTTTCCTCATTTCAACAGAAGCATCTCCTCATCCCGCCATGGTAAGGACCAAATGAGTTAACACACAGGACGGCCTGGCCATGATGACTATCCCTGGGCTAGGAAACAACTGCAGAACTTTCTAGAACTGCAGTTTCGAAGCATCCCATTTTCAGAATGGACTTTTACACAGGATGGAATGCGGGAGCTGGAGCCAGAATTTCCTATGAACCTTAGGGCGATAATTTGTATACAGGCCAGGGAGGTGAGGGGTTAGGTCCATCACACAAGAGGAAATTTGCCTATGAAACAGACCAGAGAAGGGGAGATGGGACTTTAGCACGAAGACTGTCGTGAGATCCACGAGAAGGAGCAGTGTGCCCAGGCCCCCATGACAGGTGGAGAAGCAAGGGAGCAGAGGCCCTACAAGCTTAGGGACCGTGGAGAAACGCTCACGGCACATCAGCCCAAGACAAGACAGCAGGTGCAATGGCCACGGCTGCACCTTGGGGAAAAGAGAAGCCACGAGCGCTGACGGAGGAAACACACACCCAGGCCCCCACTGGGGTGAAGGGATGCGCGTGAGCTCTCCTGCTGGATTCACAACACCTTTCATGCCACTGTCAACTTTTTAACAAGGTGAAAATGGGTCATGTACAGAAATATAGATGCTGCTCAGGTACAAAACATCTAACAGTGAAAGTCGGCCTGGCCGGAAGAGCGGGGGAATCGCATGGCCAGATGATGGGCTCTGCCCTTGCCTCCTCGATCCAGCCTCACCCGTGCCTGGGCGCCTGAACTCTTCAGAAGAGGGGAGCCCCAGCCCGGTCCTAGGTGCTTGGCCGCTGCTGTAAGCCAAAGGCATATGGCTGGAGGAAGTCCACAGGAGGCAGATGATGGTCACTAGGCTGTGGTGGCCATGCACCTGGCCACATGGACAGTGAGCCCGTGCTGCTGCTCCCAAGGCTCAGGGAGACCCACCACCCCCCACCGTGACTGATGGACTCTCCCGTGGGTCCTCTGAGACCACTCCACCCACCTTGGCTGAAACAGTTCAAGAGGAACTTGTGCCTCTAGCCACTGGGAGTCCCAGCTGACAGGACAGACCAGGCTCACAGGTCTCAGACTGCGGGACAGAAGAGGGTGGGCCACCTGGCAGAGCTCCCGAGGGGAGGCAGGTGGGGAACCTCGATGGGGCAGGGCTCCCCCAATACTGCACCCCATGCTCGGGGCGCAAGACAGCACAGCGTGCCTTCCATGGTTAACTGCCACGGAGAGAACCAGGACAGCCTCCTCGTTTCTTCCTACAGTTGAAGATTTCTTATCAAGAACTAAGTAGCTGCCTTGCCTACAAACGTTAAAGTAAAAAACCCAGCCTGGTTTTTAATTTTTCTTTCTTTCTTTTTTAGAGACGGGGTCTCGCTTTGTAGCCCAGGCTGGAGTCTGATGGAGGGCCACGGTGCACTGCAGCCTTGAACTCTTGGTTCAAGTGATCTGCCTCAGCCTCCGGAGTAGCTGGGACTACAGGCATGCACAGCCATCCCTGGCTAATTTTTGTTAATGTTTTGTAGAGATGGGGTCAAGCAATGTTGCCCAGGCTGGTCTCGAACTCCTGGGCTTAAGCAATCCTCCCACCTCACCCTCCTAAAGTGCTGGGTGAGCTACCACACCCATCCTAGTTTTAAAATTTGCTTAAAGACAGGGTCTTGCTCTGTTGCCTCTGCTGGAGTGTAGTGATGAAATCACACCCAGCCTCAACCTCCTGGACGCATGCGATCCTCTCACCTCAGCCTCCCGAGGAGCTGGGACCAAAGGCACCACCACTATGGCCTGCATCAAACTCAGCCCCTCTTATGATTCAAAAAGCTTTCGTTACATTGTTAAACTTTTTCAAAGTTACACAAAAGTAATGAGAACTGTGTGGTGAACTCCAAGTGCCAATCTCCAGACTCGCCATTATCAGCTCCTGCCCATCAATCTGGTTCCTGTAGGCACCCCCAACTTCCACCCTCACAGGACTCCTCTGAAGCAAATCCCCACTTTCCTGCTCTCTCTCTGGTTCGGGACAGCTGGGAGCTCATGGGAAGTGAGCCTGGCCTGTGCTATCACAATTGGGAGGGCGCCCTGGGAGTCTCACCTGCTGCTCACACAGCAGCGTGCTCAGCGCCTGCCGGCACGGCAGGATCATCATGGGGAAGCCCACAGCCACTGACATCATGAAGCCCAAACGGAGCATCTCCGTCACCAGGTTGGAGGGGAAGTGCATCAGCACGTTGCCGGCTGTGGCCTCAGTGAAGCTGACGTAACCGAAAAACCCCACCTGTTGGAGGAAGAGAAAGGGCAGCGTAGCGAACAGACTTCCCAGTCTGTGTGGCCCCTGTCACAGTGGACAGGGCATGGGGGGAGACCTGTGCCCTGCCCCCAAGAATGGCCTTCAGTCCACTTCACAGTGAAGCTCTGCAAGAGACAGCCTTCCAGGGGCCAAGCACCATTCAGCCTCCTTCTCCTTAAAATCTGCACTTTCTGTAGGGAACATGCCATTTCTATAGAAAATTAACAGAGGTCTACAGAGACAATAAGAGTGGTTGGGAGGAAGCACTCTGGGAACAGCCCTGGTGCTAGGCTCCTCAGGGCAGGAGAGCTTCCTGGCCCAGGGTGGACCCGGGCTTCTGGGGCTGGTCCTGGAATGATGGAAGCTGAGGGGGCTGTCCCAGGTCCCCACGCAGCCTCCAGACACTGGGATGAGAACAGAGAGAACGAGCTGGCAGCACACAGGGCCAGGGGCGTGCCTGAGGCAAGGCACAGGGCAGCACGCACATAGCGCTGGCATGACACAGGTGTGGAGAGGGCGTGGCAAGGCTCTTACCATGACGTAGAAGGTGGTGACCACGTTGAGGGAGGAGGCAAATATGGAGCTCATGGTTTTCACCGATGGCTCATCCAGGCTGTCGTAGGTGGGCAGCACCTGGCTGTACCAAAACAGGCCGTTTCACAGCGGACCCGAGAGAGGCATGCATTCCCCAGAGGTGCTGCTCCCAGGACCTGCCAGGAGCCTCTGACCTTCCTTCACACAACATTTCGTAAACACTGAGTCCTGGCGCTCAGGCCAGGATGTCGTGATGCTGAGGACAGGAGCACTGCAGTGGCCCCCACGCAGGACACCCCCAGAGCGTGAGCCATCCACGCAGGACACCCCCAAAGCGTGCACCATCCACGCAGGACGCCCCCCGAGCGTGCGCCATCCATGAGGACGCCCCCAGAGCGTGCGCCATCCACGCAGGACGCCCCCCCCAGAGCGTGCGCCATCCACGCAGG